TTATTTTAATAATATTAACAAATTATTGTCCTGTAGAGTTCTAAGAAAGAGCCTTCATTTCAATATTTTGGTGTCACAAGGGCGTCTGAAGACCAACTTTTTCAGCCAGTTAACTGCTAGGTTCTGATTTTCCTTGAAGTTCTTCTAGTCTGCGCTGTTCAGGGAATTACAGCGCATCAGGTTGAAGGAAAAAAGATGACGCTAGCTCGTTTTTGCTTGTACAACTAGAACTTTAAGAAGTGACCCACAAGTACGTTCAAACGGACTTACAAGCCTGCTTCTTCGTGACCCCTCAAACATTGGAATAAAATCTCTCGTGTTAAATGTATTTTTTTGTCACAAAATTGACTGCCTTATAAAGTTTGTATTACTTAAAATATTCTAGTCCCTACCTCTGTTTTGCATGTTAGATGTGACCTTCTCAGTTGGCGCAGCATGTAAGAAGCAGAAAAAACATGAAAAAAAGCTGCTTTGACAATTATTAAAGCCACGAAAAGCGCCTATAAAAGTCTGACATGTTCTAATCATTGAAGATTATGCTACAAAAGTTGCACTTTACTTTATAATATCAAATTTGCGTGTTGTGGTTTGCTAGGAGAGTCAATAAGACAGATTTATCTTACAAAAACAAAGACACCAGTGATGTTCATACTACACATACTTTATTAAACAGCTGGTTGTGTAGGAAAACTATGCGTGGAGCACGGCAATTTTCATTTTGGCGTTTGAGGGGTCAGCGATGAAAGAGATTTTAAGCTTTTAGAATTGCTCCATACTGCACTGGCTAAAGGTTTAATTGCGCAAGCGAACGTGAACTCTACCATTTTTTTTCTGTAAAATTAAGTGCCGTAGCTTTCCAAACCGGCTAAACACAAAAACTTCAGGAAGAACCTTAATCCACCAGCTAAGTGGCTGAAACAGTAAGTCCCTTGACTTCTTCATGACGCCAGAATACATACTATCTGCACGTAATGAAAATATGAGAAGCAGAAAAGGCTGGAAAGAAGACTACTTTTTACAACACTGCAGAATAATAATTTTTTGTGTTCAAAGAAAAATACAAGTTTCATAAGAGACTTTCAACGTCTAAACATACCAGATTTTTATAATTACCTTCTATGGTTTTTAGAGGCACCTCAAGACAGTTTTGCCACTGTTAAGTGCATGGGATTACTGTAAAAACATTGCATTTTTTGCAATTTCACACCTCTCTCCGGCTCATAACTTTCAATACCAAAAAATGTCATCACCAGATTTTAAGGAATATTTTTTTTAAAGAGATTTAAAGACACGCTTTTCTTTATACTTATTTGAAGCTCTATTTTTACTGTGCTTACAAAAACTTTTAGCAGGAATAAGTGATTCAATACATATTACTTATTTATTACTCAGAAAGACAGGAAGTGACAAATACAATAAAATCAAAAACCATTAAATTCTATTGAGGGCAGGCTAAATCACAAGTCTGCGAAAACAAGCATATCACGCGGCAACCTGGTAAGTTTTGCAAGTTTCATGGGGATGTAGCTGGGCGGAAAATTCACTATTTCAGAATCTTTCTTTGGTATCCTGTATACTGGCCTAGACCTTACTAATCGGCCAAGTTTAAATAATCTCCTATACTAGGTGGAAAAAGTGTGCTACTTTGACGTAGAATGGCATATGTAAATGTATACATATATATGGGCAATTTCAGAACGGTTTCGCCACTGTAGAATACACAGAATTACTGTATAATAATGGAAAGTTTTACCGTTTTTTTAAAATTTTCTTAAAATCTTTTGTTTACTGCATCTATAAAATTTTTGTAGCAGGATTAAAACATTTAATTTAAAAGAACAGGACATGACAAATCTGTGGAACTAAAAACAGTCTAATTCTATAAAGGATATATTAAACTATAAGTCTCGATAAGTAGCTGTGTCCAGCGGAAACCTAGCATATTTTGCAACTTTGAGGTGTGTAACTTAATGGGAAATTCATTCCTATAGTTTTTTTTCTCAGCTTAAGTATATTGGTCTTGGTTTTAGTAAACAACAAAATTCAAAAAAATTGTGGGATGTGAAGGAAAAAAGTGAGCCACTTGGCGTGGGATAGCTCATCTATAAGTAATATAAATTATATATACATGTTTTTTTCTCTAAGCCGATGGTCAAGCCCAAATAACTAAAAAAAAACTATTTTTTATCATTACTCGTTGGCAAATTAAAACTATAGCTCTACTTTGTATCCTCGTAGAACTAACCGGGTATTTCAGATCCAAAAATCCAAAATGTTTCAAAGTCAAAGACAGTAGGACATAAAGCTTCCGAAAATGATGTAAAAAACAAGACTATTTTTTCAACCAAGTTGTTTCTTCATACGAAGAGATGGATTAATGAACCGGAAAAGCACGGCCTGCCAAGTGCACCTAAAATACATGTTTACTTAAACAGTATGTAACAGTTAACGCAATACCAACACTTTGCACGAGCGCTACCTGCACGACTATGAGGGGCGATTTTTTGCATTAAAAGTTTCAATTTGTTCCTTGTTTTTGCGATTCCAGAAGAGGTCTCTACAGTTTTAACAAAAAATTTTCGAAGTAAAATCTTTGCATCGCGAAAACAAGAATTAAGCTGATCCCTTTAATTTCAACACTGTCTAAAAAGTTACCAATAATTTGCTTTAAAAAGCTAATATTGAAGGTTTGCTGAGAAAAAGTAAGATTTGATACAATGAAGCAGAAACTGTAGAACTTGCCAGTTTGAGTTCGAGCACCTTGGAGATTTTAAATAAATAAGAAGTCTTCTTATTAGTATTTCAGAAAATCATGCAACTTCTAAACTTTGAAAGGTTGCCTGTCGTGAAGTAAATTAAAGTGTAAGAAGGATGTTAGGGGTAGGTGAGAAAAATAACGAGATTCCTGAAGTTTAAAAAAACGATTGCTGTACTTCCATAGGGACTACTGCCTCAGCGAGAATGCCCAGCGGGGCATACCGTCGCGCAATGTTTTGACCTGAAACTGTAAACGGAAATAAACTGCTCATTTGTCAACATTCTAGCACGCTTAATTTACCAAGACTTTTGTCAACAGGCCAATGAAACCTTACGCCGCTCAACATACTTCCGACTCCTGATCATTACATGGAGAAACTTCTTCATGCAAATATATTACCTTGATGGCTTCAAGCTGCCGCCAACGTAACTCAAAGTTAAATATTTCTTGTAGTTGTTCCTCGTTAATACAGTCACTTGCAAGAAATAATTGTCAGTTTTTGTTGTAAAAAAAGTGAGACAACTTTACAAAGCTTTTAGATAAGACTTTATAAAAAAGAACTATCCTTGGAAAATCTACCCTGCAATTTCCTGATTTGTTCAACAGTAATTATTATCCCGTTTATCGAAAAATTTTAATTGGCTATCATGCACAAACCAATGACCGATAAGACAGCACTAAGCCTCCATTAAAAATTCCACTTGAAAAACTAATTGGAAAAACTCCACCATTAAAATCCTTATCACATTCTCGAACAATAGCCAATGAAGGTGCAACAAGAAATGGCAGCATTTGAGCCAAGACCGATTAAGATATTGTAACAAAATTTCACATATGAACTTAAGCCAAAAATTGAGAATTTTACCTCTAAATTTTTCAGAAAATACCATAGGAGTGTTTGTAAATATTTAAATTTTCTAGAAATAATAATTTTTTTCAAAAGGTGTTGGTGAAGATGATACTACAACGTTTAATGCTGTCAGATTTAACAAGCAGGAATACCTGCGAGGGATTTTGCACGTCTTTGAAGAAACAAACGACTTATTTTGAGACAAACTTCTGGACAAAAACAAAAAAAAGTAAAGGCGGATACAGAACTGACTTAGTTTGTGTGTCTTAACAGCAGAATCTACGTCTAGTAGTGTACGTTTCACAACATAGTAAGTTGTACCAGTGAATTAGTTTTGGGAGAATAATAACACTGAAGAAACGCTTCCAGTAAGAACATTCTGTGGATAGACTAATAACAGTAAAACAGAGCGGACGAAGTAGGGAATTCTAGTAGCAAAGAACCCTTCAAAGAAAGCATCATAAGGTCTTAGCTGAGCGAAGCGCCATTAGCCCTAATGGACGGGTTTTTGCGACTGTGGAATTGCTGTGTCCCAATTTATCTATCGCTGAACCGCCGCAGTCGGTTTTTTGTCGAGGTCATGCAGATGTTTAAAAGAAGAGGTCTGCAAGGCAAAACGCCAGCGGGCATGCCTTTTGTGTGGTAAAGCGCATGTGTACGCTCTCCTTTTGTTCTACTCCACAGCTCCTTTTCCGCTGCTTGCTTGGAGTATCACCGCTGATTGCTCGCGTAGCGCCTTAACCCCAGCAGGCATGTTGACAAAGCTTCGCTAACACGCTGATTGGCTGCACATGGCAGCCCGATGGGTGTGGTTAATTTCAGATTGATGGGGACAGAATATTTTATTTTTTGTCTGTATGCTTGTCTCAGAAGCTTGTTTCATAGGAGACAGTTTAGTCTTTCAAATAACGAGTTATTTCTTTCGTTCTCCTTATTGTGGTGTTGCTGTTTATCCGATTTTGGATGTTTCTTTTGCCTTGCAAAAGCTTTCTCCATTATATTCTAGATCTTTTTCGGTTTAGTGATATTTTTTGTTATCCTTCCTTTCTGAATGCTCTCTGGTGATCTATGTACAAAATACTTTTGATACGCTGCTGAAATTCAAATAGCCAATCGGTAATGAAACAACGGTAAGGCTGTGTAAAATAAGAAACATCTTGATAATCGAAGGTCAGGGTCAGTTTTCCCTTCTGATTGGTTACTACTGTGGAACATTGGCAAATGTTCTTTTATTGATTTTTTTTATCAACCGTCTAGTGCTAAATAGGAATTTTGCTATTTTTATCCTGAATTATTACTGTCCGTTACTTCATCGAGGAATTACTTGCTGCATCTTGGTTGTTATTCCAGCTGCAACAGAAGAAAATTACCGATTCTCATTAAGTCTTTGATATGGTACAGTATTCTGTCGAAATGAACGATAGTGCACTGGCTCGTTCATCTTCAACTGATAGTAATGGGTTCCCAGTCAAAGATTCGGATGCTATTAAACTTTTCGTCGGCCAAGTATGTTTGGTCTAACTTTTTACTTTTTCAAATATTTATTTTTTAAGCAGTTTCATTCACTTACAGTAACGTCGAAGAAATTTGACTATAATTTTACAGTATCCTTCTGTGATAACGATTTCCAGCGTTACTTTGAAAAACACCGTATTTATTTCACTCGAAACAAAAGTTTTCACTTTATTGTGGAATTTAGGTCATTCTGCCTTTTAATCTCTTCGTTTTGACCTGCGCAGCTTTTCTAATGTGCTGGTAAGGCAGGGGAAAGAGATCTGAGGGGCTAGGTTTGATGGATAGAATGTTGCACAAACTTGAAAGGTTTCTTATAGCATTGAATTCTTGCAAAAGAAAACCCGTTTTGGAGTCTACTTTCTGTTGAGCTGATATTTATTATTCTTTCCTTTCCGAAAGATCTGAGTTCTACGAAATTCATATATATATATATATATATATATATATATATA